CTGCAACCGGATTGCCGTAAACTTTAAACGAGAAAGCCTCAACCCATTGATCTCGCGATAATTAATGCACAGATGTTGGGCGTCCTTAGACAGAACTAAGAGCTTTTAAGGTGACCGATGTATTATGTGCTCTTCTATCATAAGATTAGATATATCTAGAATGACATACTTATCGATTAACGCTGTTTATCATATCTCATACCATGTCTTCATTGCTTGGTAAGCCACGAATCTCTCTCTTCCTGAAATCCCACCAGCTTCAAATACAGGTACTTCGGGACTTATGAGTATTAAAATCTATATGTGCTTGGTTACAGCAATTCAGTACTTTCGCGTGTTTAACTCAGTTTTCTCTGAAGTACCCATTTGACCCTTCCCACTATGACAAGGACTAGACTGGGGCTCACACGTCGTCTGTCTGTTTATACACAGTAAAACAGTGAACGTGCAACGAGCAACCAATGCGCTTGGAGTCTAACTCTAATTTAGTACTTAATCGTTTCCCAGAGCATACTTGCTTCGGGGAGTCCTTCCGTGCACTCAATCAAATGGCTCGACGAGCTTCTGGCGAAGACGTGATCCTAGCAGCCAATACTCATAGGAGTACCGTCTGCGCTTAGAGTGGCAGAGTTTGAAAAAGCTCGTACTCTTAATGTACGTGCTGAAGAGGAGAGGGCTCGACTAGCGAGTTTATATCGGTCAGATACCGAAAATGATTGATTGCCTTGAATATACATCTGTTCCGACCCCAAAGCCAAAACGCACGAAACTTGACGCGCCGATAATGGAGTATCGGCCTCTCGGTTACTCGAAGATTCGGTACTTGTTGAGATCGTAATGACATCACTACTGAATTTCATGCCAAACTTATTCTAAATAGTCAGCGCGAAAATTATTTTGACACACTGATACGCTTGTAGCCGAAGCATCTTGGCTCAATTACATGTGTTGGTGAGGTCGGCTAAGCTCGCCATGTCAATTTTGTGTGTGCTGTCTTCGTTGACTCGAATAACTTGTCACTTCTTTTATTTGCAAATCCCAGATGATGCCATGAGTCAAAAAGGTCATGTCTTTGACGTCTCGCTTGACGTGGGCACGGTGATCACCTTCGCGCTCTTTGAATACCAGCGCCAACGTAACTTGTCGATAGTCGTATATGAGGTAACTACCTCAGACCGCCAAGCGATTTCTTGAAACGCTAGACGTAGGCTGAATAAATATCAACAATGCATCCATTCGGCTGTAGCATACCTTTTAGAAGTGCCGTAACCACGGCCATTTGGTGCAACGTCAAAATCTTCTTGACCACAAGACTGTGTAGGATTCTTATTGACGTAAGCTCAGCTACCAGTGGGAAGGTGCATAATTTTGATAGATGTAAGCTAACTACCGGTGGAAGACATTTCCAGTCGATGCCATACGATTGAAAAAAATCTTTGAGTTCCTCATTCGCTCTCGCTTGTTCTCCTATAAACTAAACAACTACCAGCAGCCAATTGCATTACAACCTTGCGGCAATGGACAAGCAACCACGATCAGTTTCTTACAGCGCGATTTGATAGATCTCCATCCATTTGACCACGTTGTAGAGTTCCGCAACCTACCATCCCCCGCTACATCTGCAACGTATGCCGCTTTGAAACCATAATTTTGCCTGTGGGCGAGCATTCAAAAGAATTTCGATGGGTTCAAAAATAATGGCGCACGGTAGTACGTTCCAAGGAACAGATGAAGAGTGGCGCCAAGCCGAACAAGATGAAAATTAATAATGAACGGCAAATTAGCTAGAGAAGAAGTAGCAGGGCAAGGTGTCACCGATTTCGACGGATGCGCTGGCAACCTTTGCTCACGAAGAATTCTGGCCAAACGCATTTTAGTGTCAGCTAAGCGATTGGAGCTGGAAAGTTCCTATATAGATTATCAAGGCTCAGTCGCACTTGCTACGATCCCTGAATTTTACGAGGAGGAAAGGCATATCGTCTTCCGCTATCATTTTGCGTTTGAGAAGGGTAACAGAAGTGGTGGTACAGAACTTCTGGACGAAAAGGAGACTTAATGACTAAGCTCATCACTGCTGTGCAATTCCTAAGTCGCTGAAGCCCAATAAGATCGATTCAGTAAAAGCTGCCGAGTAGAATGTTGAAAAGTAGACGCTCGATCTACGATGACATACCGACGGAATATCCGGTAAGTAAACGGGTGGCAGAATATAACAGTAGGCTCTACAAATTAACCACGTTTGAATCGCTAGGATTTTGCCCTACTGCTTATTTCGCGATAACTTAATTACTAGAAGCTGACGAGAGTGTCGATGAGTTTCATACGTAGTAGGCGCCCTGGACACGATAAACACGCCATATCAAGGCTTTTCAGGCCGGATGTAGTGAATCTACCGTCCGACTAGAGCATCGACTGATGCTTCCCTTTGCCGAGTATCCGGACAGAGCAGGACAACCTTACCGGAGTGGACTCTTAAACTGTTCTCCACTGAGGGTATCCCTTCCACTGAGAATATATTAGTGCTGCCAAAATGTCTACCAAATGTTACAAGTAGGGGTGGGTCACCCTTTGCTGTCGGTGAAGGGTGAAACTTTTGTGACTGGCTCTATATAGCTTTTCGGTTATAGGCAAGCCGATTTACCTCAAGAATATCAGTGTGCCTCCGAAAGTGAGATAAGTCGGATCTCGGATGTGCTCTCTGAGCTTCACCATCGCGTTGCTTGGCTTGAGGCATCTTCAAACATTCAAAACCGCATAACATCTTCGAAACAAAAGTAGTTCAATTGAGTAACGCTACGCCGTATACAACAGAGCGCTTTACATCCGACTGGCTCGTAGGAGCGGAATCGTGGTATAGTTTCAGTAAGGCCACGTAGGACGCAGAATGTTAACGCATTCTTTTGGTGTATGAATAGAACATAATCGTCCTTTTTTGCTACAATCGTGAGCGACTTTATGTAGCGTGGTATATCGTTCGTCAATGTGGCAGGTTAAGTGCATTGTTATTTATGCCCGTCGCGTGTTTTGCCTCCCTCTGGCGTCGACGTGTTGCTTTTAAGCATTCTGCCATAGCGTTTCGCACGCAGCGCATGATGTTCAATCTTGTTGAAATGAGTTTTTTTGTTTATGTAGTTAAGCCGATATCGGCTAGTCAAATATGATCAACAGCTCCTCCCCACGAAAGCCGAGGCTGAGGGGGTCAAAGGCACCCGGGCGTTAGTCAAACTATTTTCGTAAAATGAGAAATACTGTAGGCGTACAACGCGCTAACCAATGTAAACTCAGTGAGTGATAGCAACTCGCTTGAGCATGGCGGTCTCAACACACGCATTTCTGCGGGTATACTCCACTCCACTACGCTAAACTATCTGTTTGCAAATTGTCCGAGATTGAAATGTCCATGGTAGCGCCTATCATACCTTAAAGCGGTCGCTAAAAGCTCGATGTTAAGCGCTAGACTCTATTCAAAACAGTGGCGACTGGTGCTTCGCGTGTCGAGGAACAGCTTGACTGTATCCTCACCGGTCAAATTATTGCTGACAGTAGCGAGATGGCCACGGACGATCCACAAGATCACAATACGGGCATTACCGGACACGACATGTTCAACGAACAAACAGTTCATACTGATTGACTTCTAGCATTTTGTCGAAACCGGCAGGCTGGGTAAAGGTGCCGCCGCATGCGGCAAGAATTTGGCTCTTAAATACGTTTCACACATGAGATCATCTCTTACCCATTTTTATATTTGGGGTCGCATACACATAGCGCTCACCGAGCAGTATATCCGTTCTCTTCCAGGGTGTCCATGTCACATAATTCTTTGTCCCAGAGCCAGCCATGGGATAAAGTATAGCAATGCAGACACGCAACCACGCGGCTCGATAGAGCTGCATCTGCGCTCAATGAGGCATGATCTGTATCGATCGTCAATGGCTCCATGAACCTGACAAGGGCATGTTATACTGCAAGAAGTTCCTTGTCTTGAGGGAAGTAATCATTTTCCTCTTTGAGCTGACTAGATTAAAACGCGACGACGCCTTTATGCCTGGCGCGATACTTGCTGTGAAGGTCATACTATGACAAAGGCGAAGCGGCACACACAACACGGAATGGCCGATCTGGATCCAGATGATCTAATATTGGGACACACGTAGCTTGAATTTACAGCTTTATAGCCCCCAGTACCATGTGCCATCCTCTTACGAAGATCAGTAAGGGTACATGCCATGTCGGTATATACTTGTGTTAATACTCGTTCAGGCCAAGTTACTTGCACTGGCCAATCTTTGATGGTCTGCATCTTCGTGGTTCTGTACGCAGGCCCAACATACCGATGAAGCAACTAATGAAAGAAACTTTTTCGCTGCCAAAGAGACACCTGTCAGTATTGACGAATGAAAATTCAATCGAGCATTGCTTATGCTCAAACATCTCTTACACTCCATAAACTTATCAGGTGTTGTAATCAACGAGTTTGTCTGAATGATTCAGCCTACCGGTTGTTGAAGTGCGTGCTGGGTGTTGGGAAAGGAATGACGCGCGAAGTTTGGTTCCAGTTGGTTGATCGAGAAGGAGAAGCGCTGACCTCGGCGAACTTTGTGGACTTACAGGACAATGCAAATATTGCTCGTTTTTAAAAGGCAGTGCAGGCCGAGCTGAAAGAGAGCTATCTCGCAGGGATTGCGGCCTCCGACCTCACAGTCTACGCGAACACGAACGGCGCGAAGCAGAAGCTGTCCAAGCTTTCGACTGCCTTGAGTAGATTTGGTACGGATGAAGACAACCCGCTCATCGTGGAAGTTCCGCAACAGCGGCTCCAGCAGCCGCAGAGGCTCATCCTGGAGATCCGCAAGTTGACTGGACAGTGATACCGTGCGCGCGGCTGGTCGTCGACGATGCGGACTCGCTGATTGAATTGTCGGCAACGTGCATCCATGGCACGGGAATTGGCCGTCCGGGTCAGTCACCAACCCTCTATCGTCGACCAGCACTGGTGAAACAATGGAACGAGATGAAGAGGTGCTCAATCCAAACGTATGCCATACTTTGGGTCGTTGGCCCTCCTGAAACGAGCAAATCATGTACCGCACTCGCGTTCGCGTGCGCACTGGATCGTTCGCACTGGGAAGTGCCTTGGATTCACTACTCACGAACTGACAAGCTATTCAATTGTGTTTGGCTTCATGAAAACGAGAAAACGTTTTGTGTGATAAAAGAAGAGACGATCGAGCGCGATCTGCCAGCGGTCCTGAATGGCACGACGCAGACCCAGCCAACGACTGTGTTTCTGGACGGGTACATCAAGTCATCTGCAGCTAGAGAGAAGGCTCATCTCAAGTGAAAGCGATGGCATCAACAAGACAAAATCAAGCACAGACTGGTTTGTGCTTGTTCGATGGTAATTCTTGGTAAAAAATTTCGTGCTTCAGATTATCCACCAATTCCAACGCATGTCAACATTGGCAATCACCATTGCTCATTCATATCACCGTCGGCAGATGTAGATATGGAGCAAAGAGCAGGCAACGACGATGTTGAGATGAAAGCAAACGAAGACGACGAAGACGTGGACACCGAGATGATGTTCAAACTGGATTCATGGCGGTTCGAGGAATACGCCAATGCAATCTCGAAATTCGCGTTTTACAACCGCGTCGTCAACATGTTCCATTGTCCGGTCGAAGGATTGCAAGTTGGCTAGAAGCGACATATTTGGACTCGTAAGTCAAATAGTTGGATGTTGGATTTTCAAATATTATTCGTTTTTAGTATTGGTGCACTCGGTTGGGTTGTCTTTATCTTGAGCCTGTGCAAGGACACCATTAACTTCGAGATCGCGTCCGCGAGTTTCCGGGCATGGTAAATTAAACGGCAGTGCATATTTCTCCGCGGAACTCAGCTCACCGAATTTCACTCCCTGTTGAATGCAGAGCGATCACCATTATCTGTTCAGGTAGCCAGCTAGGGCTTGCACCGCTAGACCCAGAGATTGATTATTGGCCAGAAAAGCGAAAGGCATCGACCCAGCAAGGAAAACATATTATGTCCATCTACTACATGAACCTGTTCAATCATTAATGGAAGTGGAGACCCTTCAACGATTAATGGGGTACCAATATAGTCAAACAGCCGTCATTTGCTGCATGATTGCTGCACATCCCGCTGCATCCCTTCCTTCGTTGCGATGCGAGTCGGCACAAAACTCCACCGCAGAATAGTTCTTGTGGTTCTTTTTTTTGGATCATTTATCCTCACTTGCAACGAAATCGACTGTATTCACTTTTAAACAATAAAAATGCTGTACCACAAGGTTTCACTACATCAACTGCATACGCTCGACAAACTACTGCGATCATCGCGTATTCTCATTCCTGCTTACGCAACGACGCAACTACTTGTCGGCCTCAAACAACTCGAGCGACCTCCACGAAAAGCGTGATAAAATTACTCATACACAACTTTGCAAACATCTAAACAGTAACTTCATGAGATCTGATTCCGGCTTAAAAACAGTCTTTTATTGTTAGTCCACGAGTTGCTGCCGTCTTTCTGAACGTTGGTGATCAGCGACGGGGTCGTGTGGGTGCGTCAAGTTGATCGCTAACGAATACGGTAATCGGAGCCCACGGACAAACCACTTTGATCAACGGGGGTAGTTCCCAGAGTGTATTAATTTTGATACAATCTTTTATTGACCGTGTATCTTGCCCGAGTGGTCAAAGGGGGTGGACTTAAGATTCACATACAACATCGCCGTGTTCTCTCTATAGAGAATTTTTGTCTTATTGAGACCAGTAGGAATACGCAGTCAGGGTCGTCCAGTGTCCCCATTCCCTGCAACATCGAAGCCTTGACATTATCAAAAGCATTCGACGAAGACCTGCTAGCTCCGATCTTCGAACAGTGAATAACGTGCCACTCCACGCGCATCAGAAGGGCTCGCCCAGGATGCCTCAGAGTGAGCAACAGCGCGTGGTATTAGCTATCTTCAAGCTATGCGGCCGAGCGCGAGATTGGGCGCTAACGTGCGGTGCTTCGGTTGATACGGCGTTCTTCTCCTGGAAGGAGTTGAAGGGTCAGCTTTTGTATGTATTCTTGCCGCCTAACCCGGCATAACGCGTGCGATCGCGTTTCTTTGCCGCACAGCAGGACAAGAAGGAGCTGGTGGACTTTGTCCAAGAGTTGAAAACTCTCATTGCCGGGATGGCAGCCGATCCTCTCGCCGAGGCGGTCGGGGTGACAGTCTTTAAGGAGGGCCCCCTCGCCAGAATGGACGTCTTCCGTGTACATATGTCTTCTTTTGAAGAAGTGGTGAATGTAGCATTAAATGCCAAAATCAACTTCAAGGCGGTGCAATTTGGTTGGGGTGCACACCCTCAAAGCTCGTCGAGCCAATGGATCTCAGCAATGCTGAGAAAGAGAGGGGAGAGTTCCGAGCTGCCGAGCATCTGCCGGGCCCCGACAGTGTTTTGTCTGTGGCGACATCCATCACCTTCGGACTGGTTATCCGCTGCGCAAGGCGCGTGAAGGTCCACCAAACCGATGTCCCGCTTCTACCCATTTTCGTTTGTCACGGGTGAACCCAGTAGGCACGGGTGCCCTACTGAGGAAGACCTGAGTTCTGTTGAGCCTCAGTAATAGAGGACAGATGAACCTTGCCCCGAAGAGATCCGTGCTTTTGTATACGGAACGTGTATGCAAGCCGGGCTTGCTGGTCTTGAAAGCGACTGTTAGGGCTTTGAGAAGCAACGGGAGATCCTAATCGGTTCTGGGGTTTCAGGCAATTATGCTCGACGCTCCTTGATAGAAGGAGGTCAGCTATATGCTGAGGCGCCGAAAGCACGGCTGGGTGACATTGCCACAGTTTACTTAGCGACAGGGACTTGTGTCACTGTACCGAGGGTCCCTGTGGACCTCTGTGTCACGTTTCTTGACATCAATAGCGTGGAACACTGCTTAGTCTTAGACTTGGATGCAAGGTTAGACTTTATCCTTGGTATGACATGGTTGGAACACCATAAGCCATGGATTAATTGGAAGTCGAAGACCTTAGGCGCTTCGCGCACTTTGGTGAGTTTTGAACCCGCCTCTGCTAGGAAGCAAAAGCGCGGCCACTGGACCGGGACGGTCAATGTAATAGATATCGAGGTATCCGTGTTGTCTACACCGAAGGTCTATTGGACAGGGGTCTCGAGCATTGCTCGCGGGCTGAACGTGGAGTGGCACGTTGCCCACTGAGCACTGCTAAAGGATAAATGCAGTTGCAACATGCCGAGAGTGACCCGCCGTCGGTCCTACCTCCGGACCGAGGTGTGCGTCATGAGATCGACATGTTTTTGGCAGCCAAATACTGCGTACACGCCAATGGCCCCTGCCCAAGGAGTAGTGTGACGTCATTGACGCCGTTTTCCGTACGAAGCCCGACGCAGAAGTGGTGCGTGAGAGCAAGTTTCCCCAGCTGACACCCACGTTCTGTGTCCAGAAGCCGAACGTCAAGTGATGTATCATTCAAGCTTACAGTAAGCCAAACGCTACCACCATTCCGGCTCAAACGCCGACTTCTAGAAAGGATGTTCTCCAGAACAATACGGTTGGCTGTACAAAGAACAGCGCACTTGACTTGGTAGATGGTTTTTACCAATTGATGGCTATTACCAATTGCTCATGAGAGCGAGTGAAATTCCGCTGATATAGGTGAGAACTCTGAGCGAAGTGTTCTGGGTGTGGCTGGTGATGCTTCAAGGGCTGTCAAATGCACCAGTAACATTTAATCGTCTTGTGACGTAGTTGTTCAGGGTATGCACAAACATAATTCGACGACATCTTCGTCCACAGTGTGCGGAACACGGGAGGATAGATGAGGGTAACCACATCGTTTATTTGGGAGAGGTGCTCGAGTGCATGTACGAGTAAGCTGTATGCTAATACACAGATAAGGACAGCTTCGGCGCTGAAAGATTTTTTTTTTGGGGTGCTATATTGGGAAGTATGGCCTTCGAGCGGATCCCGCCAAGGTCAATCCCATTGTGGACTGGCCGGTTCCAAAGAACAAGTGGCTTGGTCTCGCCAACTACTTGCACAAGTATAGCGCAAATTAAACGGAAATGGCACGGCTATTGTCGAATCTCCTTATGAAGTGTCGCAATGTTGTTGGGATACCGAGCATCGCGAGGCTTTTGACAGGGTCAAAGACAGCCTCCTTCATGCACCAATACTGGAGTTGCCAGACCCCGATCGTCCTTATGTCACGACGGTGACGTCGTCAGTGACGGATTTGATCCGCGTCACATACGCGGGTGGTGGTACGTGTGTAGCGCTGCTACAGGCAGCAGGAGTTCGGAAACTCGGGCAAGAAATTGTCGGCAAGATCGCGCGTACAATAACACCGATATTCGTTGAGTAGCGGGTTGTTGTATTATCGCACCAATTCAACGAATACGCCACAAATCGTAGTTCTTCACGATCAAAATTAAAAACACCAATCTTCTATGAAGCCCACGACACCCCACCCAGTGGTCATCTCGGTCTTGTGAGGACGTACAGCTCGATGAGTTGCCACAATGGTGGTCCAAGCTGTGTGAGTCGTGTCAAAAGGTAAAACAATCCAAATGCGGCGGCGCCGCTGGCCAGCTTACCGGTACCCTCCGGGTGTTGGCAGTCCATGAGTATGGACTTTGTGTTTGCCTGCCAAAGGACTCGGCAGGCAACACGGAAATGGTGGACTTTGTCGACCGTTTGGGCAAGATGGCTCATCTTGAGGCCAGATACCATCGACGGTGTCGAATAGCGTCACTGTTTGTTGATCGCGTCTTTTGACAAAATGGGCTCCCGAAGTCAATTGTCTCTGATAGAGACTCGCGCTTCACTGAGAAGTTTGGTCTACAATTTTCAGGGTGCTGGGCACCAGGTTGACTATGTCAACAGAGGACCATCCGCAGACCGATGGTCAGACTGTGCGTGTGAATTGCGTCGTTGTAGACGTTCCTTGCAGCGTTGCGCTGAGACGCCGAAACGCTGGAGCGCTACGTTGCCACTTGCAGAGTTTGCTTTGAACAATGCAGATATTTCATCTATCGGCAATATGCCGTTCGACGTAAACGAGCTTAGATTCGCGTCCCACTGATGCCGCCAGCATATGACTGAGGCTTGGTGGGGGAGGATTTAGCCGACCGGCTAGCTGATGTCAGCTCCCTCACCATGCGTAAAAAAGTCGGAGACTCCCTGTCAACTAGACTGAGTGTCTTACGACACGTTCGTTATGCGATGGCTAAAAGCCAAGGCATGCAGAGAGAATATGCGAATGGAATAGGATGAAGAAATGTCGAAAACATTGAGGTCGGAGGCCTCGTTTTATTAAACGCTAAAGCCTTCCTACACTTGCGATTTCTGTTGTCTTTTAAGACAAGCACCGTCCATGGTTTATTGGACCTCTTAAGGTCGTGGCCAAGCGAGGCCTTGCGTATACGCTGAACCTTCTGAGCAGGATGTGCACCCACCCGGTGTTTTATGTGGGTTTGCTTAAGCCGTACCGGAATCCGGCGCAAGTGAAAACGGAAGCATTGGCGCCGGGGCGGCGCCCATAGGCGCTCGACCATCCAGTAGCAGGACCAGCAGCTAGTTTTGAGCACGAGTGCAACAAACTCCATAGAAACGACACTAAAAAAACGATCAAAGTCTTGCAATACTGATGCATGAAAGAGGCTGTCTTTGACCCCGTCAAAAGCCCCCCAATCCTCGGTGTCCCAACGCCATTCCGACACTTCTTGAGACGACTCGACAAGCGCCGTGCCAATTCCGCATATTTTGCGCTCTACTTGTGCAAGTAATTGGCGAGGCCAAGCAACTTGCGCATACCCTTTTGGTTCTTTGGCACCGGCCAGTCAACAATTACTTTGGCCTTAGCGGGATCCGCTCGAAGGCCATATCTTCAGCGCCGAAGCTGTCCTAATCTGTATATTAGCATACAGCTTACTCGTGCATGCACTCGAGCACCTCTCTCAAATGAACGATGTGGTTTTCCTCATCTGTCCTTTCGTGCCCCGCACACTGTGGACGAAGATGTCGTCGAACTATGTTTGTGCATACCCTGAACTACTGCGTCACTTGAGGACTAAATTTTGCTGGTGCATTTGACAGCCCCTGAAGCATCACCAGCTACTCCCAGCGCATCCCGCTCAGAGTACTCACCTATATCAGCGGAATATCACTCGCTCTCATGAGTGATTGGTAATAACCATCGACCAAGTCGAGTGCGCTGTACTTTGTACAGCCAACCATATTGTTCTGGAGAACATCCTTTTTAGGATTCGGCGTTTGAGCCGGAATGGTGGCAGCGTTTAGCTTATTGTAAGCGTGAACGATACGCCAATTGCCGTTCGGCTTCCGTAAAACAAAACGTGGGTGTCGAAAAGGGCGGCTTGCTCTCACGCACCACTTCTGCGTCGTGCTTCGTACGGAAAACGGCGTCAATGACGTCACACTGCTCTTTGGGCAGAGGCAAATGTTGTGTGACGCAGTATTTGATTCCCGGGACCATCTCAATCTCATGACGCATACCTCGGCCTGGTGGTAGGTCCGATGGGGTTTTTGGAGACGAAGTTTTGGAATCCTTCACTGAAGGATAATACGAATCCGAGGGATCCTTCAGGATCGACGATCCATTTCGTGCGTTCAGCACTCTCTTGGTGTATTCCAGGATAGCTTCATCCAAAAGTGATAACGAGTTCATCTCCTCGTTCGGTCGTATAATGACACATAAACTAAATCGCCTGCCTTCAAGGCAACGTCAAACTCTTCGAGATACATCTCGTTCAGCTCAAGAAGAGCATCCACCACTGGAATAGACTCGAGGATGACGTCGCCGTCTTCCTCTCCCGTCACACCGTTGACAAGGGTGTATAGCTGTGTGCAATCGTCTACGTTTGACACCCTGGGTCAGGGTCGACGCACTGCGTACTGCAATAAACATACGGCTTCGCCGTCTCCCCTCTATAAAGGTTTTACGTCTCATCGAGACCGGTTAAAACTCGCAATCAGTGTCGTCCATTGTCCCCACTCCTTGCTTTATCGGAGCCTTGATATTATTAACAACATCCGACAAAGAGCTGCTACTTCCGCAGTCTTCGTCCAGTGGATTACGTGCCACTCCACGCGCATCAGAAGGGCTTTGCCCAATAGGCCTCGGACTTCATCCGACCATTCCACTCTTAGCATGCAGCAACTACCTCGTAACGTGAGCAGTGCTCAGTGAATTACGTGCCAATTTACGTGTATCACTGAGGCTTCGCCCGCGGTGCCTCGGCCCTTGGCCGACCATGCCACTCTTGGCATGTTGCAACTGCTTTGACACTTTAGCAGTGCTCAGTTGGCAACGTGCCACTCCATGTTCAACCCGCTAGCCATGCTCGAGACCCTTGTCCAATACAACTGCGGAGTTGACAACACGGACACTCCGATATCCAGCGCCCGCGCTTCTGCTTAAATGCAGAGGTGGGTTTCAGAACTCACCAAGGTGCGCGTAGTGTCCAAGTTCTTCGTCTTCCAGTCAATCCACGGCTCATGGTGTTCCAACCATGTCACTCCAAGGATAAGGTCATACCTTGCGTCCAAATTGACGGCTAAGCAGCGTTTCACGCTATCAAAATTGTTAAACTTGACACCGATGTCCATAGGGATCCTCGGCACACTGACACATGCCCCTGTCGCTAAGGAAACAGTGGCAATGTCACTCAGCCCCACCTTCAGCGCCTCAGCATACAGCTGGCTTTTTTCGATCGTGGAACGTCTAGCATAATTTCCGACGTGCCGTGGAATCGATAAGGATCATTCATGGCTTTTAAAAGCCCTTCACGGTCGCTTTTACGACCATCAAGCCCGGGTTGCACACTCGTTCCGTATTCAAGAGCACGGAGCTCTTTGGGGCTGGGCTTCGCTGCCCTCTACCACGTTGAGGCTCTACAGAGCTCAATTCATACCCAGTAGGACTATCCGCGCTTACTTGGTGCTCTCGTTTCTCCGCGATAGATTTGACTAGTTAGGGGGGCGTCGGTTCGATGAACCTTCACGCTCTTTGCGCAGGGGACAGCCAAACCGAAGGTGACGGGTGTCTCCGCAGACAAAACGCCGTCGGGGCCAGGCAGAGGCACAGTAGCTCGGAGATCTCTCTCCTCCTTCTCAGCATAAGTTGAGATTCATTAGATCAGGCTCGCTCGAACGAGCTCTGAGTGTGTACTTTCCAACCAAGACTTGCCGACTTAAAGCTGAATGTGGCATTCAATACCACATTCACCGTTTCATTAAAAGATACACACAGAAGACTTCCATTCTGGCAACGCCAGTGCGGAGGCCCTCCATAAAGATGGTCATTGTGACCGCTCGACGAGCTCTGAGAGTGTACATTCCAACCAAGTTGCAATAATGCACAATGCGCTAGAAATAGTTGACAATGCACCGCAAGAAGTAATGTGTATACCGTGTAACTGGGCTTCATTGACATGCAATATGTGAGGAGGTAAGGGTGTGATAACCAAGCTATTTAATGTTGCGCTTCCAAGTTGAGTTTTTGTCCTCGATCAAATTTAAAAATATTTCGAATTCGTATAACTTAAGTACGACAATCCATGGCAGATACCAAGATTGTAAATCTTTCAATGGGTGCAAGCAAAAGTCATCATCTGCGCACAGTTTTGCTGCTTCGGCTGTGTATACTATCTGTCACGGCCAGCGATGACTTCCAAGACGACAGCTCCAGCTCTTTCGAAGGTGTGACGGAGCTATTTAGCTCAGCTAAGGGTATTAATGTGGGTCCTGCAATCTTGGCAGTCATTGCCTTTTTGGGTGGAGGCGTCGTATGTCTTGCTGGTTACCGACTCTTTCGTCCCACAGTCTTCTGTTGTGCCTTCTTCATTGGTGGCATCTTTGTCGCTAGAATCGTCGAGACAGCATTCTCAAGCATGAGTTGGATGCCAACCGCCTCGTGGATCGCCTTTGCTATCAGTGGAGTCATTTCTGGCGTAATTGTGTTAATGCTTTACAGTGCTAGCATTTTTATGGCTGGTGCAGTGGGAGGGATCATGCTCGCATTTACGATTAACACGTCGGTAGGTGCAATGATCTACCCGAAGAATCCGGACGTTTTGTTGATCATATTGGCCGTCTTATTGGGTATCCTTGGCGGCATTTTGGCACTCAAGCTTGAAAAGCCAGTCATCATTGCAACTACAGCTTTTGCTGGCTCTATGATTTGTGTCTGGGGAGTCGGCTACTTTGCAGGCGATTATCCAAACGGTGCAGACCTGAAGCAGTTCCGGTCCCTAGATGACAAGGGCAACTGGGTCTATGACATCCCGGATGCCTGGTGGAGCTATTTAGCGGGTATAATCGTGCTATTTATCGTGGGTGTGACTGTGCAGATTCGAAAGACAGCGCGAGGATACGATCATGGAGGCCATACGGGAAGCTTGTCGATCTCAAAAAATTCGAGAAACGCTGCAGTATGATTGTAGCTTACAATGTATATACATTTACTGCTGCACTTTCTATTATATATCATTGGTAAACGATAAATAATCCACACTAAAAACGAGCGATATGTGCTTACCCAAGACCATGAATTGATCTGGCAATTGCAACTACCAGACAATTGTGTAGCTTTTGTCTCTTATCAATGTTGAAGTAAAGTAGCGGCGAACACAACGAAACGTCAGTCACTAAACGTGGACAGGACATGACACCAGTGTATCCTTAAATGTTAATACGTTAGATTTTGCTATGAAAATGCCAAATAATATCTAACCCAAACTTTTCTCAGAAAATATCATCGAAAAGATTCAATGCATAGCTAACCATCGAGGATCATATCAAGGTGAGACAAGACAACGAAAGTTTGAATAGCACACATTTAATAATGGACCTGTGATAAAGGAAATTTATCAATATTCTCATGGCCATTGCATCTAAGTTTGCACGAATTATTTTGATTGATTAGAGAAAATAACAGCAAAATCTTGAGACAGCCAATTATTGAATTTAACGATTTTCCGAATTTACATTTTGTTCTGCATTAAGTGTTGCCAGCAAATGGCAAAGTGCCAATACAGGCTACTTTCTTTCGTCAACTGGTCTTTCAGCCAAGACCAATCAGCTAAAAAAAATCCTACAATCTTTTCAGCATGCGAATGCAAGCGTCTTCTCACCGAATGCATTCCAACGAAATTGTCATACTGAAAATATTCGCTCACCACTATTAGCACGTTATACATGATCAAAAATAAATGACACGTGCATTTCATAAGCGGCATGACAATTCCATAATACCGCAATGAGCCAGAATCCACGTGACAGATTCTTGTCGAGTCCAGGCATCGAAGCGTTTTCAACAAACACGCGTCAGTTTTTAATCGCATAGAAATATCCGTCGATTCAATATCCAGATCAGATGCATCACCGAAGTAAAAATAAAATAGTAAACCCATTTGAAGATCGGGCCTCGTTCTCTAAGAGATCCGTCGAATCTGAGTGACTAATTTCGAACCACATGTCTCTCCATGGTGAGTCCGCGAAATTGACGATTCTTGTTAAAATTACGTCGTCCTCGTCCAAAACAATATCCGAAGGAGCCCTGGCCTCGTTTTCTACCACATCCTCTTCGTGGTCAAATCGATAGTAAGTGCCTGCGCCTGCATCGCACACAGCACAAAATTTTTCACATCCACCTCAGCCGTGTCGTCGGCTTTTTCGATCTCCAATGGCACACGCGCGCACTTACTTCCTAGCTCAGATAGATGGATAGGCAAAGCGCAAATCGATGTCTCGAGCGCCTGCTGTGCATCTCTGCAGAAACTTAAAAGGGAAAATCTTTCTGCGCGCTGACGTGACTCAGACGCTAACGGTTACGCTTGGTACCGGACCCGTACCTACTAACGGGAGGAAGGCGTTGTCATGAGCCAGTAAGAAAATATCAATTTGATTTTGTGATGTACTTGGATGTGTGACAAGTGATGGTTTCTGGGAATATATCGTCAACGCAGTATACACAACAGGTCTCGTTTATTTTGTCTAGATACGCTGCTCGCTTGCTAGTTCTTCTCGACAGCATCTTCTTTTTAAATTATCCCACATAACACAAGCGCACCTCCAGTCTCTCTTCGATCATTGGTGGCCGGACTCCTTGCTGATCAGAAGTTCCCGAACTCCTCTAACTTAGCAATTAGATCAAGCAAGTACAAAAAGAAAACGAACTATTTGCACTCACGTCTTGCTTCGGGTGACAACACTCTTCATGCACATTGCACAGCATAATCGCATCTTGTAGAGTGTTCAATTAAGTGATCTTGAGCTAGCATGCGACTCCAGCTCGCGAATGCTGTCTTTTGCTTTTGCTGCAGGTTCCTTCGATTCCTCAAATGGTTTACTTGTTAAATCCCAGTTCCCAGCGCCTTCGCCAATCCAAAAGAGTCGATGTTGTTCCAGAAGCTGCTGCTCGAACTGCTGCGCAGAGGGTATTGAATGCTCATCTATGACGACGAGTACACACAGGTTAATCAAGTGACACTTTGCGATTATTTTGTGCAGGCTGTACTAAACATAACAACCCTCTGCGTACAAGCAAATAAAATATATCTCGCACCTCCATTAAAGCTGAGACGACCAGACAGGCTAGATGAGCAAGCCGAGTAGTGCGGACTCTCGCACGGCTGCGCCGGACGTTGGTCACTTGCACAAACATCCTCTGAATGAAGCATTCGCCAATTGTCATCGTCCGAGTGTCCTGGGCTAGAGTTGCTAGATTTTGAGCTGTGTGAGCAACGTGGGCGTGCATGGCAGACACCTGTTTGCAGATATGTCACCCCAGGACAATAGCAATCATCATCATAGCCATGTTCGTAATGAGGCAAATCATCTCGACACTGACGTGAAGCCATTGTCAACGAATATCCACTTGATTGAAAAATAGCGTTTGGTGATTTCATCCGCTCCTCGTTCACCTGCTCCCCACCACGTCCTTTATATAATCTGTGATTATTTAGCGGCAAACCACTTAAATTACTTCGAGGTCCTACGCGTGCCATACTCGGGACCAAATATTTCGTTCTTTCTTTCAATCGGTGAATATCCTTCAAAACTCCGCACATTCCAGACCTCATTAGGTCTAGTTCTTCGTTGATACGCTCGGCTTCACTTTCTTGAGCTTCGCGGATACACGCCAGTTGCTGTGACACAAGATTTCCGAGGTCTTGTCGAAAGTAATGGTTTTCCTGTACAAGCACCTGCTTTAACTGGTACATTTCAGCGTGTAATTCACCTAATTGTGTGAGCGCCAAATTGATTCGCTCTGTCGACTCGAGTTGTGCAGGTACAGCCGAGCACGGTATCGAAGTAACAGAGCCATCATGGCTTACCCGTGCTCTGTACTCACACAGCTCGTCCTTCAGCAGCTTGATCTGTTGCCGTTTTCCAACGATATTCACGTCGTGACCGTGAACACTTTCCGGCTCATGCATTGCACTGTCTGCCAAATAACCAAGTCGTACCACCAATTTATTCATCTCGTCCGTACACTCGTGTCGAAAGGCCTCCAGCTGTGCAGCCGTGACTTCTCGACATCTATTTAGCATATCAACTTGCGCAGAGCAGCTGGAAAGCTGCTCCAGCGAATTCTGGATCAAAGCTGCGTTCTTTGACGAGCGTTCCTGATAGTCCATCTGTAACGATGCTAGCTCATTGGCCACGGCATTCAAAGCGCCCAGTCCTAACAACAACTGTTGAGTTTCTTCTTCACATAAAGAAAATTTGCGCTTTAAGGCCGCTACACTGTGCCGCAACTGCTCATTTCTAAGTCCGATTTTCGTGATCTCCTCTGTTACATTTCGCTCAGGAAAAACACCACCTCCTTTGTCTTCGATTCCCACCTCAGCTGCTTTAGCCGGAATCTGGTCTCCTCCAGACCACTGGTCGCACCCTAATTGTCAAAAAAATCATGAAACCGCATAAATGGATAATTAATAGATATAAGACAACGCCACGACTACGGTAGCTTTCTCGCAACCTCGCAGTGAGAAATCTGCCCAAGTCGTGGCGTTGTCTGATGGTTGAAGTGTTTTCTATACTTTCGTACCATAGGTTGCGTGAGCTGGAAAAGAAACGGTTGTTCCACACCGCACCGCCGTTTCTGTCTTCTTTTTGTGCTGTGTTTTCATCTCACATACACGTGGTCGCTTATTTGTATCTCGTAAGACCCTTTGATGCGTAAAGCCACTGCTGGTCGATGCGACTTTACTCTGTGAGCGTAACTTGACTTTGCGCATCGCGGTAACGGCTTCGTTCGCGCTCACGGACGCAGACATTCCTGGTACTTGAGTAACTGAGAACTCTCCAACTCCGTGATTGGCCCTTTTCAAATTAATTGACTGAAATATCTTCAACAAATTGCTAGTGAGATATCAAAAGTGTATGCACTACGACCAGCCATTCCGCAATGGTGCGCAAAAAAAGGAAAGGTGTAGTAAAGGAGGCGGATGCAACTGGGGCAGTAGTACCCAGTGGAGTGGATCTGCGGCAAGTGTTAGATCAGGTTCCTGTAAACGTATCCCTGCCTGCCGCATTTGGCGATAACGACCTGGAAGCGTGGTACGAAGCGCTATGCAGGGCTCGAGGCAGTCTCTATGAGCAACTGAAGATACTACAACTATTTCGGTCCCACTCTAGAGTTTTGATTACATACAATGACTCAGATAGCAGCAACACCATAATCTCAATTTGGCGACTAGTGTTCCGACTAAGTGTGACGACACTCGCGCAACCGTTGCGTAAAAATTTAGAGCTGATACTTGACGTCTTGGTGCAGAGCAAAATCGATGAATTGCGAGTCGTAGCTTCTCAGGAGCTGAAAACTCACCTGAATAAACTGATGACAGAAGCAAATGGTCCAGATCTGACTGCTGAGCTGCGCGTGAGATTGCTTGACCGTATGCTGCGCTTGATTGAGGCTCCGTTCGTAGCTGGTATTTTAGTAAAGAATCCAGAAACCAGTGAAAAAAACGGAGATGCTGAACATTTGTTTCAATTCGTGGCGTGCTGTGCTGATCAGCTTGAAGCATTAGGAAAGCCTATTATGGCGGCTGGTGAGATTTATTCGAAAAGTAAAGAGAAGACGAGGGCAGAGGAGGAGAATAAAGCAGCAGCAGTGTCAACGAACGTTGTCATGATTGCGTCCGAACGTTCCGGTCATGCTTTGAAAATTGTGATTGTATTGTCGACGATGAAAGAAGTGCTGGATTGGCGATTGAAACAATTGGATAAGTTCAGCCTTGACAGATTAACGGGGGCATTTTTTCGGATACTAAAGCACTGTGTGTTGCTGCTTCAAACAACTGTGGTACACAAGGATCTGCTCACACAAGCAGGACTGGCATACTGCTTAGTGCTACGATTGCTGATACAGCTGTCAGAGAGCTCTTCGACTAACACGACAAAGCTGTTGCTTCAGATAGCGTATCCAGAGCTTCACATTTCCAGCTCTGATGCATGTTCTAATGTGCAGTTGCGAGCACACATCGAGGTGGACGGTACGAAGTTTGGCGGCCTATCAAGACTGGCAGTGTACCGTGGCTTACTTAGCAGCCTTACGAATCATGATTTAATACAACCGTCTAAGACGTTTGGACTAACGACTATGGATCAGAGCTTGCTAAATGCAATTTTTATAAGTGTTCAGCAATTCTGCGTGCAGGAGTCATATAATACGCGGTTATTTGCGTTTCAGATACTCGAAGCCTTCCTTCGCCGAGCTGTGTTAATTTTGCAGCTACATAAGAAAGATCCACCACGATGTGATCAATACTTGTCGGTTTTAACAGTCAAAACATTGACAGGTTTGACGGCTGCTGTGCTGATAAATTGGGAGCATCCCTCGAAAAAGGTAAACCAGTTCATGGCTAGTGTCTTTGCGCATGTCATGAACTATTTCTTACTATCTGGTGACTTCCATGACTGGAATGACGTCCTCTTGCCGCGGTTGGTAGAACTACCCTCTACGAGCCGAGCAAAGTACGGATCGTTGACACTTTTCGTCGCACACGCTGGAGCCCAATCGGTGCTTCGAGCTTGCCCAACGCTCCTGTCATCTTTACTCTTGGCAGTTGGTCAAAAGGATAACGCAGCTCCGGCTGCTGCGAACTTGTTTGCGCAAATTCTTGATGATCTAAGCCATACCACAATCAAAGAAAAATGCGATGAGAATCATTCGAAGCCAGATGTCCAGACTGTGGGTGCGTGGCGCCAACTCTGGCTTTCGGATGTAATAAATTTGATCTTATCACGAGATGAAAGTCTTCGATCGCGTGTGGTGATGTATGTGGTTCCTTTGTTGCTAAAAAAAGATCCCGAATCCATGCTTATTTTGATTCAGCGTCTGCAAGTCGAAGCATCAAATAATGGAAAACAGAACGATGCCGATGTCGCATTGTGGGCTGAGCTTGAGGTGCTTAAGTTTGCACGCAAAAAGCTGGCACCTGAAATGCTCGTTGGTGTGTCCATGAAGAGGATTGAGTGCGGTCTACGACACGGGAACGGGGAAACGCGAGTCGCAGCTTTTGATGCGTTGTGTGCGTCACTGAAATCGACAAGCATGCCCTCACTAGATGAGTTACGTTTGATAAAGCTATATTTGGTGTTGAATGGGAAAGAAATTGATTCCGCTAACCTGATGAACACGCTGCTGGGTCTGAAAACCGTTCTTATTCGCATCAAAGAGGCAATTCGTCTTGCTACAAAGAATGTTACTAATCCAAATTTTAGTCATGTGTCTCTTTCTAAATATTCAACCGTCCGTGATGAGTTTGTTGCTGCAGTATCGTTCAAGCAGTGGATTGAAATTTTTATTGTCACATCTGTGTATCCCGGTGCGATTCCCCAGCGTTTGACGCTTGGTCTGGAGATTTTTCTGCTGTACATCCAGCTCTTTGGGCTCGATAAATGTAATGAAGAGCAGAGTTCACGAAATCTCTTGTTTACTAAACAAATGGTGACAGTACTTTTGAGCATGCTAATTAGTGCGTGGGATTCCATTCGGTCCTTAGCCGATACAATTCTTAATCTGTATCCAGATGAATTGCCGGGATACTCGACGCGCGACGAACTCGCTACTCTACTTCACTGGGCTGTCGGACTTTGCGGTAGTCCCCGTCAGCGTGAAAGCGATGCTGGTGCCCTGTTTATTCGGCTGCTTTTTCAGAAGTGTAGTTCAGCAATCCAACGCTTCGAATTAAAACTTCAGCGCTTGTCGGAAAATGATTTTGGGGAGACGAGAGTTAACGCTTGCAAACCTGATGTAGCCTTTGTTTTGCAGCTGACGCACGCCATCGGCTCACGCATTGATGCCTTGAGTCCAGCTGACATTCACCGGGGCGAGTCACCGCTTGTGCATGGCTTGTTGCTATCGCTTCACTACGTACTCGATAGCGTTTCATTCGATCAACTCACACCATGTGAAGCTGCGGACTGGCCGAAGGCTATGACTCAAGTGTTTACCGTCATCCACCAGTCTATGCGTGCGTCACTTGCTGTAGTCGGCGATGTGACTTCTGGCACCGGTGGCGATGAGAATTCAGCTTCATTTGCCGGTATTGTGGGCGAGGTAAGTGCAGTTGCTAAAACATCAAACTCCGCTTTACGAGTCGACTGCCGTGGCCACTTAATCGTCGAAAACGGTGATTGTGGTCTGTACGGAGAAAATGAAAGCGAAAATGCAGAGCAGCGAGCTGTGGTAAGCAGTTGGTTAGCGGCTCGTGAATGCTGCATCATTCTCGAGCTGCTTGTGCGTCGCGTACCACTTCCTAGATTGGATCTAGCTCCGGGTTCGATCTCGTTTTTCAGCGTTGAGATGGCGCAATCTGGAGGAGAGGCATTGTTGAATTCGCTGTTCGAACTGAAGCACAAGGGTGCACTTGCTATGGCGTACCAATCGTTTGAAGGTGTATGCCGCGCATTTCTAGCAAATGGTGAGCACAACTCAGTACTCGGAGGCCTGCCTTTACGTTGGGCTGATAGGTTGCTAGAGCGTTTGAAACGATCAAAACAGCAATTTATCCTGCGTCGAAGCTCCGGTTTTGCATTTAGTTTCGTTGCGATTCTTCGGGCAGAGCCGCGTAACTCCGCTGCTGTGATCCTACCAAAGGTGATGTCGACGCTGCTATGTGTCGCAGGCGAAGACACAGACGCTGCTGAAACGCTGGATGTACAACAGGGTCATCACTTGCTGCGAGCTCGAGTGCACGCACTGAACATTCTTAAACTCATATGCCAAGATGCCGTGCTTGCAGAAGATGTAGCCCTTTATATTGTAGATATGTTCGAACTGGCCGTGCGGGGTTTCGACTGTGGGTCTTGGGCCGTCCGCAATTCATCAATGATGCTATTTGCTGCGTCCATGCAGCGCGCGATCGGAGATAAGCGCATTGCGGACGGTCGAGTATGTCAACAAGTTGCTTGCGATAGCGTGTTTTCCCGCTTTTTGCAACTTCGTGGCTTTCTCGCTCGTGAGCTGACCAGGTTATTGGCACATGACAGTAAGCCTAGTAATGCGTTCAATGCCGCCGCTCGGCTTGGACTGTATCCATTGCTCTTGTTTCTAAGCCGCCTGCGACCTGGCGACGAAGACGATCAGCGCGTAACGACAGCATGTGACGGCCGTAATAACTTGTCAATTTTTGTTCCTCTTGTAATGCAGTGCGCATCGCAACCGACAATGACCGTCCGACACATGGCTGCGAAAGTTTTGGCGTCCATCGTGGGTAAAATGGACGCTGCATCCGTGCTATTGACACTCTGTGCAGAGCTTCCTCGTGGCATCTGCATCACCGGAAAAGAAGTCGCTTTAAAGTCACACAATTATGTCCATGGTGTTCTTACCCAAATCCGGCACCTGACCACAAAGTATCTTTCTCTAAAAGGCATGCAAAACAGCCCTCACCTTATAAATGCTCAGGCTGAAGTTTTCAGCGTTGCAGTTTCCAAAGTGCTTCCATCGATAATGTGGCTCTGGGAAGGTGAAGATGCCGATCATATAAATCCTGTCATACGAGCAGAAGCGGTCGCAATATTAAACGTGATTTTACGATTTTATATGAACGACGTTTCAGGCGCACTTGAGATGTTAAAGGAAACAGCTCTGAAGGAAGCTTTTGTTCAGACGATTCAAATTATCCAAATGGAAGCTAAACAACAATTGCTGCAGCGCTGTGAATCGAATAGGAATGCTGCACTGCTTCAATCGATCCGCCCGGGTATGTCCGTTCTGGATCGTGAACTAGTGAGGGTCTCGTTTAATTTGTGGACTGAGTTTGGTTCTAAGCAGCCATGTAACGACCTCGTGAAGAAGATGCTTTTTTCGAAATCGCTACAAATTCGGAAGGAAGCTACCAAACATCTAGCAAACAAAGTAGTATTTGCAGACTTGAAGACAAATGCTGCTGATGAGTTCCAAGCTCTTTTTATCAATCAATATTTTGAAGAGACTCATCCTAAAGTACGAGCTCGACAGCTTCAGCTGCTGGCGAGCTTCGAATCTCAACGAAAGATTGCCAATACGCAAACTCAACGAATGCAACTGCAGATGCAGCTAATGCATATTTTGAACACATCAGCTGATCCTCGGATTCTTGCACCAGCATTGGAGCTGCTGGCTATTCTTGCTTCTTACAACCAAGACCCGGAACACGATGCATCAATTCGAGCTTTGTGTCAGGAAATTGAATTGCGTTCTGACGATTCTCAGCCGCTGATGTTACGCCAAGCTGCCGCCTCGGCGCTTCGTCATAGTCGCCAAATTTTACTACACACGAAGCAGAAATTAGACAGTGACCTAGCTCTGACTGGCTGGATGAGTGCAGTTCAATTGCTTCAAGATGATAATGTGCATGTGAGGGCATGCGCACGACGCGCTGTGTTGGAGACCCTTGCTGAAGCTTCAAAAGATCCGAGCACGACCAATGCTTTTTCGGGAACATCCTTGTCGGACGCAATGACTTTACCTGTTGCAGTAAATTTTGTTGTATCATCCTTCGCGCATACAGAAATTGGCGCTAAATTCTTGTCAAAGTTGTTGATGAAACTCATTGACGCGCCCAAAATTCTCGATGCTTATTCCAGTGCTTCCGGGGCCAAGGCGCAAGACTGGGATAATTTATACCGCCGCATTTTCGATTCGGAAAGCAACAATTATTTTGTTGAGCGTGATACTCTCGCACAGAATCTAGTCCACGCTTTGTTCGTGCGCACTTTGTACGATAATGAGTCGATGCACCGTTTGCGATGTCAAATTTTGACAAATGCAGCAAGTGTGCTTACAATATTAAAACAGAAAGTGCAAGTGGAAACCAAGAGCAGCCAGTGGTTGGGAGGTATCACTTACTACTCTGACTTGTTTTCTCCGCTATTTGGACTTCTTGCGGCAGCTGTTGCAATCACGACTTCTTCATCGTGTCCGCTTTCAGCCGAGTTTCAGTCGCTTGCTGGTCAAGTTCGTGAGCTCGCCCATGAAGCCTATACCATGTACAGTAAGGATGAGGCAATCCACCCACTTGTGATTCGAGCGCTTGAGCTGCTTGCCTGCACCGATCAATCTAGTTCAACAGTCATTAACGTTGATCCAGTAAAAGAGCTGCTGTATCTGACGCCGTACTGGAAAGCTTTGACAGAAGCGTGGGCTGCATAGGCTACTGCTTAGATTTGTAGCAGCAGCCCTGAGTGGTAGTACCTCTGACATGATACAATGCATGCCATCGGCATATTAAGGTATTGGAAAAAGCTATAAAATTGTCAAGTTTTTGAAGGTTGTCATTTAACATAGTTGTGTTAGCTTCAATAATGTTTTGTTTGCCGTGAGTAGGATCAAAGTTTCTAGCGGTGATCACCTCCGTAAAACAAATGCAAATGGTTGTACTACCCGGCTACGGTAATTAGCATCATTATGTGTCACCATTTGTGAGCTCTGTCCTTCGGAAGCAAGGGTTGTCTGTTTAAGTACACCAATTAGTTGGCTTATTTAAATAGTACGCTGGGTGATGTTTTCTGCCGGAATCATTTTTTTATGAATGCAACTGTGTGTATTGTTTTAGCAACATAACCTACATCGCTCAGCTTAGATCGTTATCTTCATCCATTTCACTGAACAAACTATGTTGCGTTTCACCACCCTCAGATGTGACTCTCATCGTGCCAACTTTCTTTGTTCTTAAAGATCACCTCTAGAACATTGTGTGCAGAGGGGCTGCCGTAGTTTTTGCTTAGAGGAAGGTAAGCTAAGGTCACCGACCATACGTTCTTTCAAAGAGCCAGTAAAATTGTAGCGGATTGCAATCCACTACTTCTAAGTACTATAGCCTTACCAAGGCTAATGAAAACTTCTGTTCGAAAACGAGACTGTATTTAATTGTTTTAGTTGGGCAGAGCCGCTAATATCTAAAACCCTAGGTTTTCCTGACCAATAAAGTAGTACCTCATTTACGTGTAATCCCGTTACACTCTCCCCATTAAACTTGTGAATACCCTCAATTTTCACATTTAACGGTCGCCTCATACGAGGCGCGTATCTGAGACACCTTCCCGTTCATAAGAAGAACTTTAACCCTTTTCCGCTCTATGAGCACTGAGTTTACGACACACAAACCCAGCCTATCTGGTAGTGAGGGCGCCCACGGGCAAGGCCCTTCTTCTTCTGCACAGGGTGCATTTTCGAATAGTACGTCCGCAGCTTCACGGGAACACATCACAAGCCCTCAGCAACTGGGTGCAACACAACGCGCCCGCTCCGGGCGACGGATTTCCTCGTCGAAGAGTTGGAGGAAGTCGACGACGAGTCGGACACTCCTTTCCCAGCATGTGATGGCGAGGAAGAAGAAGTGCGCCAACAGCACGATGTGAGCCCAGCATAAACCCTGCGGACACCATGTCCGTCCGGGTCTCGGCTTCCAGAAAATTGGTTTTTATTACCAATCGTCTCGACGAGGCACAGGAGTAGCAATTGAAGGCTGTTCACAGGGCGGCTTTCCTGCGCTCGTATCCTCGTTCAGTCTTAGACCCCCATGTGGAATACGACTTCCACTTGGCGGATCCCGCTATTGAAGGGTAACACTCGATCACTCGATCACTCGATCACTCGATCGTTAGGCGTCTACGTAGTCGGGCCTTCGGCCACTACACTAGGCTGGATCAGTGGAGAGCTCTGCGAGCTCGCTTTTCGGTACCACAAGAGATCCCAATAGATCGGTATCGCGCTCGACCTATGCTCGCAGGGTCTTATCTGCGGTAGCACAAAACATTTGCACGTCGTGTGCCCCCTTCGCTCTCAGCTGAGTTATATGCGAACCATCCTTGTGGTGCTCGCCCCTGGCAAAACCGCTGCAGATGATGATGTGCTCTTTGAGCGATGGGTGTAGCGGCACAGGAAACTGTCCTCGCTGTCTGCCCTACGGCGAGGCTACAAGAAAGTGGACGTGCGCATTGAGCGCCATCTTAGATTTGCGTGTGCCAAACTCAAGGCGCAACACCGACTTCCTGCATATTGTCGCCCTTTGACATATGAAACTATTCATGCGAGCTCCGCGGTTTCTTCCACGGGTGAATTTACGATCACAGCAGCTCAGGGCCATATCTAAGCTCAGCTTCAGGCCCTCCAACTTGCCAAGCCAGTGCCGGGAAGTGCGGTGCGCACGACGACGCGAAGCGTCATGATCCTTCCGATCATAAGCGTCTACAACATCTGGAAGGTCTTGTTGAAGTGGCACCTCAAACTCTCACCAGTTCTCGGAGTTTAAATATCTCCGCTACTTCACAAGATAATGGGTTAAACACCGTCGACGACGTCGACCCACAAGGCGTTCCACGTGGTAGTGGATGCAACCATTCTCATCGAGAATAGTCGGCGGCGGACGATGACGACTTGGTCGATCGCCATTCGGTGACTCGCGATGCTCTTCGAGCGTTGGAGGACAAAGTCCGTCGTCATCGGCATTCT